GCCCCCTGCCGGCCCGGCGGAGCGCCGCACTACCGGCACCACCGAGAAGGGCGCGCTGGCCGGAGCGCCGCCTCTTGCCCGCCACGTGGTACCCCCGCGCCCCCTGCCGGCGGGGCGACGTCGCCTCACGACGTTGCGACTGAGAGGCGGGCGGGAGCGGCTCTGTCGCGATAGCGGGGACGGCCGTTCCTGCCGGGTCCCTGGCTCTTTGTCACCTGAGGGAGCTCCGTCCCTGAGGAGAGGCGAGGAGCAAGGGGAGAGGCCGCAGCCGCGCCGCAGGCAGAGCTGGGGACCCACAGCCCCTACCCCTGCCAGGCTGAGGGGCCCAGCGTCGCCCGAGCCGGGGCTGCTGGGGGGGGCGGACAGCGTGTGGGACACAGGGACAGCCGGGATGCGGCGTGGGGGGACGGCCTGTGCCCCGCCCCCGGCACCCGCCATAGCACTGGGGCTAGGGCATCGAGCGGCCGCCGGACTACAACTCCCAGAAACCCTCGCGGTACCCGCCCTCCTCCCTTCTGCGCCTGCGCGCCCCGGCGGCGGTCCCTCATTGGCCGCCGCCCCCGCCGCCATTTCGCGCCCTGGCTCGGGCCCTTCGTTGTCGCAGCGCGGTGGGCGGCTCCGCCCCTCTGCCCGGTGCTGGGAAAAGGCTACCCCGGGGAAAGGCTACCCCGACCTCTCCGGAGCCGGCCCCGGGGCCGCACCGCCGCTGGCCCCGCTCCCGCCCGGCGAGCAGGCAGGCCTCGAGGCCAGGCGTAAGGACCCAGCGGCACCCCCCGCCGACCCTCACGCAGCTCTCCAATCAGCGCCTCCATCGCGCCAGACTGACGGCCGCCGCCGCCAGTCAGCGACGACCGTTAGCCAATCGGGAGGCAAGGTGGAGGCCGGGCGCCGAGCCTCCCTCCCACCCTCCTCGCGAGACGCGGGCGGGAAGGGGGCGGAGCGGGCGGAAGGGCGGGTCACGTGGGGGGCGCTCCGCCTATCAGCGCGGTGAGGCGCGGGGTCGCCCCGGCTCCCGCCAAATACGAGCGGGAGCCCCCGGGGCGGGACCGGACCGGGGGGGGGGGGCGCGGGCGGGGCGGGGGGGTGTTCCGGGGGCTCCGCCCGCCGCTCCGTCCCCCGCCGGAGCGAGCGGCAGGTAGTTCCGCGGTCGTGGTTCCGCCGTGGCAGGTCAGGGCCGAGCCGGGGGTGGCGGTGGGGCCGGGACGCGGTGTGTTTCCGGCGGCGGTTGGGGTGCGCGGGGCCTGCCCGGGGTAACAAAGGAGGCCCGGTAGTCGCCGCCGCGCCCCGGAACCAGGCCCGGGCCTTCCCCGCCGCCTCACCCGCCGTCTCCTTCTTGCCCAACCTCCTTTCCTTCGGTCTGGCCTCGGTGGGGGCCGGTGTCCGGCGGCCCCGGGCCCGGTGGTTGCCAAAATCCCCTCAGCCTGAGGGGTGCCGGCGGGGCTCGCCCCGGCCCCTTTGTCCGGCTTCACCGTGCCCGCGCTTCGCCTCGAGGAGAGCTGTCGGGCGCTGCCACCGGTCGGCTATGTCGGGGAAGCAGGTAGCTGACCGGGAATGTGTCACGGGTGTTTATTTATTATGGGTTTTTTTTTACCCTCTCGCAGCCATGGAGTGCAGAGACAAAGCGGCTGCTCCTCCACGGAAGCTCGTACAAGGTAAGGCTGCAGAGGGAGCGTCCGTCACCCTTTGGCGCGCTAAGAAGGCATCAGATCTGATTTTGTGAAATATATTGGTTTTGAAGTAATTAGCCAGCCTCGACTGGCTAATCTGTTCCAATTCTTGTGCTTAAGAACTAATTAAATATCCTGGTATTTGATTCTTCCCCCATTTGATCGCTTCCCAGTGACACGTACGATGTGACTAAAATAATAAAATGTTACTGTTTCAGCTCGGTTGCCATTCAAACGCTTGAATCCTGTACCAAAGGAAAAATATGATGCAGATTCAGAAGTCAAAAAAGTAAAGAGCTCACAAAGTGGTTTTGGTCCAGGTAAGGATTCCTCCCTAGATGCATCGCATGTGTCCCTGGACAACGTGGAGAATGACTGCCAGTTGCATTCAGATGTGACTTTTTCTCCAAAACTCGTTAACGGAAAGGGTCCGTTAGACCATTTTATACAGAAAAACGCAAAAGATAACACAAACGAAACTGTAATTGTTATTGAGCTGACAAAGGACTCTAGCCATAGACTAAGTGATGACGTAGACCACGTTAATTTTGATTCAAAAGCATCTTCATCCCTAGCTATAACTAACGGCACGTTAGGAAAAGAGATAAACCAGTTGAGGTGCCTGAATTCCCCTCAGAGTAGCCAAATGTATGATTCAATGGAGACTGATGCACCCTGTGAAGCCGTAGCGAATAAAGATGAAGATTTGGTAGATGGAATCCAGTCGTGTTCTGGGTTAACAGAGTGTGATAATGTGGAAGACACAAAGGTAAACCAGAGCGAACTGAAGGATGTCATCTTTGAGGGGAAGATGCCTGTAGTGCTCCTGGAGGATATTATGACTGCAAAATCTCCCAAAGTCGCTTCTCTGGATGGAAGTGTCACGTCGGAAAATGAGACCATGGAATCGTCTCATGGAGACTCTGGACTTACCAACTCCTCACTAAGCTCTCACTCTGTGAGCTCACCTGAGGCACAGCCTGCTGCAGAAACAAAGAGGAATACTAGTCCTTTAGCTGCCTCAACGCCTGTTAGGAAGGTTGGTCTCTTTCCTTGGTTTGTTTGGTTTGTTTTTTTTTTTAAAAGCTGTTGTGTTGCAGATAGGTTGTTATGGTTTCCTGCACTTGTAGTGAAAAGGATGAATAGGATATTCACAAAGATCATGAGAAGTGTATGGAAAGTGGTGTTGATTTATTAACAACGTAACTGAATTATTGCCCTTTTCAATCCTCCTTTAAATCCTATAGCTAAAGGATTTAAATCTTGCCTGGTTTTGACCTGTTGGTATATTTGCATTGAGTGAATGTAACTTTAAACTCTGTTACAGGTTCACTTTATTTTTATTTTTTTATGAACTGCTCATGACTTGCATGCCCTGGGAGTTAGTGTTTTGGTAATTGGGATAAGGACAGTGTCCAAAAGCAGTTTTGTCCATTAGGCGATGTTTTACAACCTCTATTCTATCCTCGATGAAGCTGCCGTAATTACTGTGAGAAGATGCTACCCCAGTACCAGTCAGTGCAGATACTTTTCTAGCTCTGAATTTCTGCAACTGTGTCATAGAAAATGCTTTTAAGTTGAAACTACAGTGCATCAGTGGAACTGCAGATCTGTATGTGAGGATGGAGGATGAGCCTCTGTCTCTCCGAACTGGGTGTACAGAGCTTGTGCTCTCAGCCATCTTGTTACGGGCACATCATGGAGTGCAGGGAACTGCTTTGGGGAAAAGTCACCGCACATACAGTGCTCCTGGAGATGCACAATGCTGTTGAGGGGAAGACTGGAGCACAGGAGGGAACACCTCAAAATTAGGTCTGAATGAGCTGGTTTATTGTGCTCTTCCAGTTTAGTAGCTCTGCTCTACCAAGAGACCCCAAAACACTGTGATTTTGGGTGCTGTATTGAAGGGGAAGCTTCTAAGGACAACAGTATATGCACAGGTGGCTGAAACATTTTCGTGCCTCAAATGCCTGCTTACTGCTCAACCCTTCTGGGGAAGAGATCGGTGGCGGTTTCTCTTGGGGGGCACAGTTGCCCATGGTGAAACCTGTGAAGCAGAGCAGTCCTGGTGAATGTGCACTGTAGCTAAGCCTCACTTACGGTTAGGCTGAACTATCTGTCCCGTGCATTTGTTTTGGTCAACTACATTATTGGAGGGGAAAATGAGGAAGGTATTGAGGGGTGGGTTGATGTTGCACTGCCAGAAGTGGAGAATTGAGTATGTGGCTCAGGTATATGAGTGTGAAGCAGCTGGTAGTCTTCCTGCTTATGCCATCTTGAGCCTTTTAAGAAAGATTTGCACCAACTATTCCCCCTGGGGTTTAAGGAGAAACTGTCCCACAGGCAAGGAAAAACATCGCTGTCCTGGAGAAGGTACGGATGAGTTAGCTGGGGCTTGGAGCTCATGACGTGACAGGTCTTCCATTTCTTCTACTGCATGCTTATCAAGGAAAATGATCAATTTTCATACTGTTCAAACTCGCAGTCTCTAAAATAAATACATAAACTCAAGCAGGCATGAAGTATTTCCAGTATAGCAGAACAAACAAAAAAAGTACTTGACTCCTGATGTAATAAGATAATGCGAACAAGTTATTGGTTTCCTGTGGCGTGAAGTAAGGCTGGAATAGCTCGTGTGCTGCTTGCCAAAATGGGAAGTCTGCACCTCGACCTGTATGGCCGGCTGTCCTGGCATGTTTGTTTTCCTAGGTGGAAACAGCTCTGATAAACTAAAGCTCCCAGTTGAAAGAACTCTTTATTTTGTGTCAGGCAAATACAGAATCTCCTGATGCAACTTTGCACTGTGTAAACTTAAATGTCTCTGAGTACAGAAAATAAAGCAGTTGGTCTGCGTTAGTCTCTTAATCACAGAGTTTAAACATGGTACCTTGTACTGCGAATGGCAGGAGAAGGAAGGGGGGGATACAAGAAACCAAGCCACAGTATGCTGAAATATTGACAAGTTAAGCTTTTGACCAGTCTAGGAACGATGCTCTTAAAACATAAAATACCTTTTTTTCCCCTATAAATAACAGCTCTAAGAGAAATGAGAAGTGGACCTGTTGGGAACTTAGCATTGATGCGCTGGTACTAGTGGAAGAGCAGGAGGGCTATGATTACAATAAGAAATGGCATTAAAATATGGATAATAGTACTTGTATTCAGGAAGTTATATCTAAATATCGTAGCAAGAGTAAGTGGTAGGATGCAAAAAAAATGCCAAAACCCAAACCAAGTTTAACTCGAAAGTGACTTTGCTATAATTAAGTGTGTTGTGCTCTCATGATTTGGAGCAGCTCTAGCTTCTGTTTGTTTTTTCTGCACATGATATTCCCCTGCAAATGATACTTTAGAACTGAGTAGACTAGAGGGATTTGTTTATGCAAAACTTAGTAATGAGAGGACTTAATGTAAACTGAAGCGTTTAGATGTATTCAGGCTTAACTGTAAATCAGTGAGATTAGATATGCTTGAACTGCGTTCTGATATCCTATACTGAAGGAATACTTAAGTTGTTGAATATACTAATCTGCCAGAACAACGTTAATATCATTCAAATGAAGCTTGCTGTTCTTTCTGTGAGACTTTTAGTGCCTCGTGGAAAGGGGATGATGTCGATCTCTAAAACTTTCATTTTGTAATTCCAGGTACATCAGAAATTCCACAAAAGTTCAGCAGAGAAGGAGAAGCTCAGATTGCAAAGAGTAAGGCATTTTCACTGACATAGAAAGTTAGCCTGCTGTGCTTTTGCATTGAATAGTAAGCAAAGCCCTTTGCGTTTCATCTTAGTCCACTTAGAACATCTCTTTTCCTGGTTTTCCTCACTGATGAATATGGAAGAATCTTAATGCATGCAGTTAAAGTACTTGGCTCGTTCCAAAGCTGCTTAATGCATACATAATGAAGTGTGGGTGGCCTGCACTGCATTTCTGTGCACTTTGGTAAGAGATTAAGAAACTGTAAATGTTGCTGACTGCTTGTCAAAATGCTTTTGAGAATTTTTTCTAAACCCTTCCTGAGAGGGTAGGTGCAGCCTGCTAAGTGGACAGATACAAGTGAAATTTTCAAGAGCCCTCTATTTAGGGTCGGTTCCTGCTTCATCATTCTCACCCTTCCCCCTTTTAAGCCACAAAACATAGGGTCTGCTCTTCATTAATAAGTGAGGCAAATGGGCTGCTGTGTTTATGGCTTGCTGAAGAAACTGTGGGATGTCACTGCTGGAAATGCTCAAGCTCCGGTCTGTTTGCTTGAATGCAGCTAGTCAGCAAACTCTATTCCGTAACAAAAAGGCGGTGCGATAATTTTGCTGTCCGTTCTGCTTTCAGTCATAAACTGCTAAATATAAAGGAGGCTGATGGATCACATGGAGTTCTTGAACAGTCAGTGCTGCATGAGTGGGATTTGCCTGCTGGAAAACTGAATGTTATTTTAACTGCAGTTCGGAAGGCCTGTGCTTATGAATTCTTATTGTGTTTCTTAGTAACTAGTTCATAAAGTTGGTAGGGTACTGTTGTGTGTTTTATATAAGCTCTGTGTGATTGAGCCTGCTCCCGAGATGCTCGCTTTTTACAGCGCCCCATATAGAAGTCCAATCTGTTGTGTTCTTCCATTCTATACGTATGTTAAAAATAGCAGTAATGTGAGGGAGAGATGAGAATGGAAGCTTTATTACACTAAAAATTAAATAGACCCGCCAATCTTGCTGTTAACTTCACACCATTTTCCAAACTACCCAGTAAATTTTCACTGATTACCATGACTCAGTTCTGACAGTATTGGGTTTTTTACCATTGGCACCATTTTGTATGCTGGTTGCCTTCTGCAGTTATTTGTACATTGTGACACTGTTCAGTAAGTCTTGATGTTGCCAAGAAGAGATGTGAAATAAATAAAACGAAACTGAAAATACACAGTGAGGATATTTGTATGTCTGAGCGCAGACATACCCTAGTTTCCTGGTGAAGTCACCAATGCCTACAATGTAGGGAAGCTATCTTTCTTTAATTTTGCATTTTTTAGTAGGCGCGCTGCATTCTCCTTTATGTTACTAGACCCATAATGAGAATTTCAGTTGCTTTGGGATGAAATACTGTGAACAGCAACACTTCCAATGTAATCTTCCCCCCATTGTTGCCACAGTGCCCCTTAAAGAAGCTTAGAGCGCCTGGTGTTGTCTGATTATCTAACACGGACTAACTCAAGTGACAATTTCTTTGCAAGCTCCAGGTCTTACAAAGCAGCTGCACAATCCAGAGTTTGGAGACTTCCATTACTGCCTGAGATAGGATTTTCTGATGACGTTTTTCACTTAGCGGTTTATAAAGCAAAATCAGATCAAATTCACTTTTCAAAATTATTCCATGGTAGCCCTGCATTGATATGAAAGCTTAGCTCATGAGGTATGTATTTCCAAAGAAAGTATTTTGGAAACAATCTGAAATCTTCTATTAAATTAAAATTTTCTTTTTTTTAATTCCCGTATAATTTTCCATAATGCTACAATGGTAATGAAGATGACTCAAATGTAAAGCAAGTAGAATACAAAGCTTCCCTTGATGCTTAGAAAATAGAAACACCTCCATTTGTTAGGAGAAAAGAACAATTAATGCCTTCAGAGAGCCACTCCAAGGTAGCTCAGCTGGCTGAGGCAACAGGTAGCTGTGGTTAATAACCTTGTGTCCTGTGATAGCTAGAAATGATGCTGCAGGTCAAGCACTGGGTTGATGCAAGAATCTTCTCTAGTATCTCAGCTGAAGAAATGACGTCCTTATTTTACTCAAGTTTTTATGCCAGCAGCTATTACTGTGTACAAAGAGACAGCTTGCTTGATGGCTTGTTTCTGAATCAGGATCAGGAGCGTGCCGACAAGCTGCAGAAGTTGCAAGCAGAAAGGGAGGAAAAGGGAAGGCTGAAAGAAGAAGCAAAAGCCGCAAAAGAGCGAGCAAAGGAGGAGGCGAAGAAGAAGAAAGAAGAAGAGAAAGAGTTGAAAGAGAAAGAAAGGAGAGAAAAGAAAGAGAAAGAAGAAAAGGAAAAAGCTGAGAAGCTGAGAGTGAAGGAGGAGAAGCGCAAGGAGAGGCAGGAAGCTTTAGAGTAAGTGGCTTGGTTTCCACAGGTCCTGGGGAATAATGTGTAATGGTGTGAGCACCTTTTCATACGCACCTTAACTGTCCCTTCTAGAGGCTATATTGGTCAAACAGCATGTGCCTTTTTGTCATGGGGTATGTTTTAAGCGCTTGACAGACAGGATATACGCGACCCTAGTCTCAGCAGCACTTTTTGCTTGCAGGCTGACCTGGGCTTCTGATTTGAAATGGCTGAAAAGAGCTGTCATGCTCTACTGAGTTTTCCCTTCATGACCAGTCTTGCTTGTACTCTTGCAATTTGCTGGCACTGGTGCCCTGTCTGTTGAGGAAGTTGCTTGTAACTTGATAATACCATAAATACCCTTTCCTGGTATTGAGGGCAACTTGAAGCAGCCTAGCTACTTTGTGGCTAGAACAGGTCAATGTTTGCTCTAGAAGGAACCAAGAGAGTCTTCTGTACACTTAACCAAGTATGGTCCTTGGTGAAATTGATAGATTATCTTCTTGCCTAGCATGATGGGGTCTTAGTCAAGATCTGGGGCTTCTCACCTCTTCCTCAGTGCAAATAAACACTTCATGGTTTGTGACAATTAAAAAGAACTTTATATTAAAGGGCAAGACTCGAGGAGAAGAGAAAGAAAGAAGAGGAGAAACGGTTAAGAGAGGAGGAAAAGGTAAATGCTTTCTCTAGCTTGTCTCTAAATTCTTCTGCTACGGTGAAATGATGTTAATGGGCTCCCTGGCACCCTGCCGACGGCTGCCGAGCTGTTCGCAACAGGGCTCCTGCAGCTACTGTGGTTCTCCAGGCAGTGTACCCTGCTTTGGTACCGCTTGGGAGTGAGCAGGTCCATTTGGGATGCAGCCTGTCTGATCTGATGTGGTGGTGCTGCTCCACCAGTTATACTGTGCAGGTTTCTTGTCTGTTACTTCCGTGCATGTTGGTGTCTTTGCTTTTACCTGTTAAAGTCTTTTCTGCATTTGTTTTTTCAGTGCCCATGAGTGAACTCTATCCTTTGTCTTAGCAATGACATTGGAATCCACATAGCTGTGTTAGAGAAGACAATTAGTTTTCTGTTGAGTTACAGGAGCTGGTAAATGACTGAACTTTGCTTTATACCTCACTAGATTTGAAGTTGGGTCATGCATGAGCTCACCCTGAATTATAAGGCCTTGTCCTACCTTTGTGTTTATAATTTGCATTTTGCTTCTGATTTCAGCGTATTAATGCACAGAAAGCAGAAATTACGAGGTTCTTCCAGAAACCAAAGACTCCACAAGCCCCGAAGGTGAGGTATTGCTGTTCCTGTGTTTTGTTGGTCTTTCATTAGTTGTCTTGTAACAAATAGACCGATATCCTTCTGATCTGTCCCTTAGAGCTTCTTAGGTGGACAAAGCATTAGTATTTCTTATTTCCTAATTTCAAAAGTGTAAAGGATTTAAAAAAATGTCTGTGACCAGAGCAGAGACTACAACAGAGTTTTGTAGTTGCTTTAGTAAAAATTTCAGCTCTGTCTTCTGCTGCATTGGCTGTGAAGACCTAGATTCCCTTGAGAAGATCTGTTGGAGTCTCAGATAGGAAGGGCTTAACTTAAATCTTCACTCAAACTTCAGCACCTGGTATTGAGTTTTGTTGTATATCTTGACTGTGTTGGTGCTGCAGTTTCTCACAGTCCTCACTTAATATTTCAGATTCTTGCTGGCTCTTGTGGAAAGTTTGCTCCTTTTGAAATTAAGGAGAACATGGTCTTAGCTCCCCTCTGTCGTATTGCCCTGGATCCAGACTTCTTAGACCAGCTGGATAAGCTCCTGCGTGCACAGAATAGTGAAGTTTCTTTCTTGAGGGATCTAAAGTGTCGTAAACCACGTAAAACTGGACCTACTTTTGTCAGTAACAGCACTGACATAGTAAACAGGTTAGTCTGTGTTTTGGGGGTTTTCTTCACTTTTTTTACATAACGAACTGCAGAATGGTTTTGAGATCATCTTATTCTAATATTGGAGATGATGGAAAGATGGAGCTTTTCTTTGAATACTCCTTTTGTATGAGAATTGTTTCTATGGGGAGCAGTACGTTATAATCTAGATTTCCTTCATTCCGTACAACGCTTCTCAAATCCTTCACTATGGGAAATCTTGTGCTTCAGACAGCTGCCTTTCAGCACTGGACACTAGTGGCCTTAGTGGTGTTTGTCTTTTGATAGTTTTAAAAAGTAAACATACCAATAACTAAACCAGAGCTGCTGTAGGGTTGTAGTTAAGGAGGGGGGTGGCTTGTCTGGAACCCATATTCTTGCAAGCACATAGGGAGTGCCTGTTCTAATGAACTCAAGCTCTGGGTTGGTACTGTGGCTAAACTGAAGCTTTCTGTAAGAAGTTTTCCTGAGCAGCAGGAAAGTGTTCTGTAAGTACTGAAGATGGTCTCTTGTTTTAACAGTGATGTCGTGGTAGTGGATAACTGCAAAACAGATGCTGTTCCTGAAAGGGGGAAATTTGGTAGAATGAAACTTCTGCAGTTTTGTGAGAATCACCGTCCTGCATACTGGGGCACATGGAACAAGAAAACCACTATGATCCGTCCCAGGAATCCTTGGTCAAAGGACAGTGTAAGCACCTCACAGGCAGTGTAGTTGGATTCTTTTTCTTCATGCTCTTGAAGCGGATGTGTGGTTGGCCAAGTTCATTGGTTCTCTGGGATTTCTGATCCACTTGCATGTTCCCTCTTGCTACTGAGTTTTGAAACCCTGAATGGGGTCTGGTGTCATGCTTTCAAATTATTTACAGAAATGACATGTTGGCATTTCTTCCAGAAACTACTGGACTATGAAGTAGATAGTGATGAAGAATGGGAAGAGGAGGAACCAGGAGAAAGTCTCTCCCATAGTGAAGGGGTAAGGGTTCCACGTGCTGAAAAATAGCTTTCTGAACCAATTGCATTTGTCAGTGTAATTTCTAACAGGCAGAGTTTATTTTTAGGATGATGAGGAGGAGGGAGAGGATGAAGATGATGACGATGGCTTTTTTGTACCCCATGGGTACCTATCTGAAGATGAAGGAGTGACAGAAGTAAGTGAACTAGGTGTCACTGGATTTCCATCTCTGTTTCCAGTGAATCATGTAATAAATATTGGCAGAGGAAGAAAGCGTGTGGTCTTGGCAGTGGTATAACTCATCTCAGATCTGCATGGTTCAGGAGCAGACTTCTGTAGCTCAGGGAACATGCTAAAAAGCTGCATTTAAAAAGCTTTTGTTTTTCCTGGAATGGATGTATCGAGTTCTTTCTTGCCTGTGGCTTTAGGAGTGCGATCCAGAGAATCAGAAGGTTCGTCAAAAGCTGAAAGCAAAGGAATGGGATGAACTGATGGCCAAGGGGAAGAGGTTCCACGTTCTACAGCCTGTGAAAATGGGCTGTGTCTGGGAAAGCGCAGAAAATGACAGCAGCACGAATGCGGACCTAAAGGTTCTCCAGCAGTTCACAGCGTGTATCCTGGATTCACCTGTTGCAGAGGAAGAACAGCAGATACAGAAATGTAGCAAAAAAAGAGCAAAAGATCAGCAAAGTAAGACCTGAAGGGCTAAATAATTGTACTTATGGACTGTTGTACTCCACTTTGGAGCGAATAGATTTTTGTATTGAGTGTCACATTCAGAATGACTTGTTTAAGACAAGTCTGAAATCCAAGGCATCGCTGTGAGAGTTCTTGGAAAGGTGTTTTCTGGCATTGCATCCAGTATGGCCTTAGTTACACTCTCCAAAACCTCTTGCTCTAGTTATCTAGGAAATGAAGCCAACAAGACTTCAGTAAACTCAGATTTAGGCCTGCTTACTGAAAGTGTTCAAGCCCATTGACCCATTTATTGTTTAGTTTGTGTGACAGGCTTCAGTACTGAGTATCTCTTGTACCTGCTTAACACAAGGATGTGAATAATGCACATGAAGGCTAGAACAGGGGTTGAAGCTTTCACTTCAGGGGGTCATTATTATTGGGGGTGACTTTTCCACATCAAATTTAGCTCCCGTTACTATCCCATATCTAAAATTAATCTCAGCCTATTTGTCCTCTTTCTGGACCGTATGTACTGATCAGTTACATCAGCTTGGCTTTTCTCAACCTTTAAACAGTTCTTCCCCACAACCTTTGTGCATCCTTTCTTCTCTGCAGTCCTTGGCCAGCTTCTGCCGCTGCTGCATGGCAACGTGAACGGGAGCAAAGTGATCATCCAGGAATTCCAGGAGTGCTGCCGGCAAGGACTGTTCAGTGATGTGACTGCAGCCGCCGACTGTAGCGACACAAGCCCCGCGAGCCCCCACACCTCCCGGCCGCAGACGCCTGTTGGTGAGGACAGTGGTGTCCCTTCCAAAGCGAGGCTAAAGCGAATCATTTCTGAGAACTCTGTGTACGAGAAGAGACCTGAATATAGGATGTGCTGGTATGTCCACTCGGAGGTGCTGAAGAGTTTTGATCAAGAGCATCTCCCCGTCCCTTGTCAATGGAACTACGTCACCCAAGTCCCTTCTTCAGGGAAGGAGGAGGGTGGCAGCGTGCCAGGCGTGGCGGTCCTGCAGACCACCCCCGTCTCGGTAAAGAGGAAGTCCACCGGAAGCATGTCCATCACTAAATTCATGAAAAGGCCTCGGGATGCTGAACAGGTGAGTTCCTGTTGCGGTGCTCTTCCCTAATAAAGAACGATGGGAATGTAGCTGTGCGTCTTCCGTAGGCGAGCATCCTGGCATGGTTCCCAGATTGGCCTAGATGAGCAGAGTCAAAATATTAAGCTACAGACACTGTCCCTCACACAAAAAGACCCTTTTTGTGGGGAAAGAAGTGAAATTATGTGACTCTAAAGAGATGGGTTTCTTTTGTGTGTCTCCAGCTTGGACTGTCTGTTCCATTTGAAATGTTGCTCTCCTGCTGTTCTTCCATTTTCTGCTATTTGGCAGTGATTGCATCCAAGCTGTGAATAGTTTCTGAGTGTCTGTTTGGCCTTGGTTTTACAGCTGTATATAATTTGTATGCAGGTTTTTATGTGTGTGTATGGCTGCCAGATGTATAGCCTGAGCTGGTGACTTACATCAGTTGCATGTGTACTGATTAAATGTGGTTCCTAAGTGCTGCAACTCAACCCATAATAGTCTGTAAAGTCTCTGGCTTATACTGTCATACATAAAGCTGAATTTCAAGAGCTAGTTTAAAAATATAATAATTCATAGGAACAAAATGAGATGGATTTGGAGTAGTTGCTACTCCAGTTCTAAGCTTTGTTGTGGTCGTCTTGTTGTTTGCTTCTGCTGTTGAGGGTAACCACAGGTAGTATTAAGAGCTTAATGATCCAAAAGGATGACTGAAAAGCGTGTGATGGGTGCTTTAGCTGTGTGATGCTCTGTCACACATTTAAGACAGTGAGGCTTTAGGTCCTGAAGCTTGGTGTTATCAACTGTTTGCCTCCAAACATACAGGCAGGACAGGGTTTGCACTGTCTGTGGATTTATTCCTCATCCCCTGTGGACAAGGGGGTGAGGAAAGAAGTCACAGGCAAGGCTTTTTATGCTTTTCATTCCCACTTTATTCTTGTCTTCTTTGGCTTTTCTACTGAAGAAGCTCTGCACTCAAGTATTGATAGGGATCAGAGACTTGTGAGAAGCTGTTCAGCCCCCAAACTCCATCTGCTTAGGTTTTTTCTTACACACTAAATAAAGGCAGAGATAAAAATCTCTGCTTGGTGCCCACTGGAAATTCTGCTTATAACTGACTACTTGAGCAGAAATAGCAAAACAAAGGCTTTTAGTAGAATTACGTCATCAGCCTGAATTCTTCGAAGCTCTCGAAAGCATCTTAAAGCTGCCCTTGTGAGGTGCGGTGCAGCGCAGCTCAGAGCAAAGGTGTCAGAGTCCTGAAAGCCCTTCATGCCTGACATCTAAATCAGCACTGCTCAGGTATTGAGATCCTGTCCTTCCTGTCAAGCAAGGCTGGAGCTTGGGGAGAGCCTAGGAATGAGGCTGGTAGGTCAAGGCTGCCAGGTTCTCTACCCCCGGCATGTGTTACTCTGCCATGAAGCTTGCGCCAGGACTCATGTAAAAGAAGGTGCTCTTATGTAAGCTGCAGAGAGAGAAAAACTCAGTATTGAAGTGGGCTGTACCTGCACACGTGTAGGAGGGGAATACATAATCTGAAAACTGTGACTTACTTTAAATTTACATCTTTCATTAGTCTTCTCTTGGAACAGCTTGTAGGGGTAGGGACCAGGTTCTAGGTCTGAGATTTTCATTCCACCGTTCCAGTTAGGGAGGGGAAAAAACCCAAAAACATTTGCAGCTGTTCAATACTGAGCAACTTCAGTTTGCATCACTCCTTGTATTCATTTTTGCAATTCAAAGTGAGTAGTTTGTGCTGCTCCCATGGCAGCAAATAAGGTCACCAAGGGAAGAACTGTCGCCCCTCCCTGAATAAAAGCTAATTGGCAAAGATGAGGAGGATTTTGGGGGGAGAACATGCTACCAACTCAACAAGCAAAAGTCATTTTCCATCTTCAGAAGGAAGAAAGCATCCAAAATAATCAGCAGAGGAGGAAGAGATTTCCCTTCCAAAAAACCAACAAAACTGAGTCAGTTTTCAGTTAAGGTTTGAACTGACTTTTCTATGTGTAGGCTGTTCATCGCATTGTGTAATAGTGAAACATCTTGGAGCAGAAGCTTGGCATGCTTCCTGCTGTATGTGCCATTGCAGATGAGGCCTTTTATCAAAAGTCAGTGTCTGTTGAAGCCCGGGGGTGTTGTTTTTTTTTCCCCCCCCCCCCCCCAATATGCCTGACTGATCAGACCGTGCTGTGAGTCCTAACTGGGAGAAGTGCCTACTGTAGTCCTTCACAGCACTGACTGTGCTTGGTCTTGCACATCAGCACCATCAGCTTGCTGATACTTTTTTTTTTTTTCCCTTAAGGCTGAAGCTGTGGAGATGGATGGATTTCAGGCAGACACTGAGGAAGATGAGGAAGATGATGACTGCATGATTGTGGATGTACGGCCAGGCAAAGGTAGGAAAATAAATCAATAGCAGTCTCTTGGTAGGTGCTCTCTCCCACAAGGGAGAGTACGACAGTGGGAACGGTGTGTGGCTAAACCTGTTGCAGTTTTTCTGCCACTTTTTCACCAAGCCTTGTGCTCTTCTCTTGAGATGTTTTTTTCTAGGTACTTCTCTGCTTTTTATGTTTTATTCTAGATGCTTCTTTGTTTTTTATGGTCTTCTCTAACCTGCTCTTGCCCTTTCTTCCCTCCTTCCACCAGTTGACTAAATAGTGCAAAGTGCTTGTGACTAGCATTTGGCTGCCAGTATTACCTTCCCCCCCCCGCCTTTTTTTTTTGTCTGATAAGAAAAGTGAACACTGGGGTCAGTATCAGCAGATCCACTAACTATTGGTAAATGTTGCCAAGCAGGGCTGGTCTCTGGGGCATGCATACTTATGTTCAGAGCCCTTCCAGGACTGACAAGGTCTGGAGCATAACTTCCCCTCTGCTGCCTTCTCGAAGTCTTCGGTGCATGCTGAATTGTCTGTTCTGAAGGAAATAACATCAGATAATAACCAAGCTCTTAGATGTTTGACAGGTGAGGGCTCTGATCAACACTGTGCAGCTCTTCTCTAGAATCTAAGCAGTTGCTTATATTTGTGTCCCAGTTATCCCTTGGAAAATGGCTTTCAAATCTCCACTGCTATAGCATATCCTTTCAGGCTACGGATTCAGAAACAGTGGGATGAGGATGTGGAGCGGCTCCTTTCATCTCAGCGAGGTTTTAACTATACATACTTGATCATACAGATCAATGACTTAACACCAACCACATGATGTGCATTCAGCTCTTCTAAACCGCTTTCAAAACCTCCAAGCCCTTTCTTACTGCTCTCACAATAGAGCTCTTTCATAATGCTACTGGCACAACCTGAATTAAGGAAAGTGGTTTTTTTGTGTTGGGCAGCTCCTCTAATTGATAGAGAAGGGCTCGTGCATATTCCCAAAGCCTTAAATTCTATAGAGTGTTTGACCCATTCTAGACATATCTGGGTTCTCCTTTCTGTCTCAGCTGGTGCTACATTCCTCCTCTCGCCTTCCATAACAGACAATGTAACTGTTTGACAAGAAGCTTTGCATTTAATCTTAAACGGCTTTTGCTTATTACAAGACTGCAGTGGGATGAAAGCCTTGCTTCAGGTTTGTAACCTCTTGTTCTGAGGGCGGGGATGCTATTCAGTAGCTTGCCTTCCTTGGGCTTTGTTGACACACATGCAGCTGTATTTGTTTAACTCTGCCTGAGTCTTAAAGCACTGAAAAGGTTATGAAGATCCTTTTATGGTGAAATTATTTTTATTCTGGATTGATGTTAACCCAATATTAAAACCAGTTTTTAAATAGAATTGAAAAGGAGACTTGCAACAGATATGGGTAGACAAGCTAAGACAGATAAAGCATGTAGTAGTCAAATCCTTCTAGATTAATGAGGATGTTTAAAAAAAACCAAAAAAAACCCCACCCAAACCAACACACTTTCTACTTTGCAGATTCTACGTTGGCAGTTGCTGAAACAGCTTCAGAATCTCGTGGCACAAGAGCTGCTCACCAGGACACCAGCATGGTCAGCCCATCTAATACAGTTTGAGACTTAAATGCCTACTAACTTCTCTGTATGTATGTAGAATGAGTTAGAAAATTTTAAACCTTGTGTATCTTTGAACAAGATACTTGCAAGTATTCTGTATTTCTTGTAAAGAGAAGACAGCACTTTGTTCTGCTTCAGACCAGATGGCAGCTTAAATTTTTAGTTCTAGTTTTTAGCTTAAAAATTCTGCATATTAATCTGTCCTTAATAAAGCATTATTGAAATTTTGATACTTCTTTGTAATGGAAGGTATCTAAGTAAGTTATCTCTAAATCTAGTGCAGAGATTTTGAAATAAGCTTATTGTGATGCCACTGGGGGAATTACTCTGTTCATAATGTATAGCATGGCCTTGGGTATAAATGATGTACAATTATATTTGAATTTATGCTATCTATATCATCCTGTTTGTGGTCTTACTTGCTACAGAGAACAGCAGCAGGGCTTTACCTTTGGAAAAGAAAAAAAAAATCCACCTTGTTTCTCCTGTTTTGGGATAGGCCAGTATTAATTACATATCAGGGGTAGATTATTGGTCTCCTGTACACGTTGCTGCAATAGAAGCTGTATACATAAAAGCTGCTCTCTACCCCACAGAAAAAACTTTAAGATTGAAGTATAAAGGACTGAACTAGCATCAAACTTGTTTATGTATGTAACAAACTTGCTGGGGCTTTTGACTTTATATGGCTTGTGAGTTGATGGATCAGTTCCCTAAGATACTGGCTGTAGTTTGAGGCTTCATCTCTCACTGGTGGGCAGCATAAATAGCTGCTGCCTGTCATCAGCCTCCTGTTCTGTTGTCCCTGTTCTGTCTGTGGGTGGCATGAAGTGAAAAGGTGGGTAATGCCACAGCTGCACCAGTAACACCAGTGCCAGCCCCAGCACTGACTGGAGCTCGTCTGCATTTCAAACCTCTAAGAGCAATGCAATTCAAATAACTTTGAACAGAACTCAGTCTTTAAATATTCCATTTAATCAGATTAAGCATAATTTTATCTAAATATATTCTCTCCAATAGGAGTTACAGTGCACACAGAAGCAAAAGGAAAAGCTGAGTTCTAAGCCCAGCCTGATATCCAGGCTCAATCGATTGGTAATCCAGCCTAGTACTAGTACCTAATCTCTCCTCCAAGGGAGGAGAGTGGTACTTCATCATGGTCTTGGAAACACCTCAAGCAGTCACTGCTAGAACTTGGTTTTTAAAGCCATTCAGAGCAGTCTGGTAAGTGTCTTACGGGGCAAGACTGCCTTAGTGTATGGCTACTGGAGTTGTGGAGGTGACCGCAGGGTTGGTGTGACATGGCAGAATCTAGACTCCCACTCTGCAGAGCTAAAATAAAATCATTTCTGAGGTCACATAGCTGGAAGCTCCAACAGTCTGTATGGGAAAATGAGGGAACAGTCTAAAACCACCAGCACTGAATCCACTCCCCTTTATTTCATGACAGCGTCTGGACTCTGGAGAGAAGTTCTGGTTTCAGGGGGCTTGCTGGCCGCTCCTCTCCTGACGCCTGAATGTCTGCCATGACTGCTGCATCCCAGGCAAGAGTCAGGAGGGCTGAGGGCACCTGGAACAGAAAAGGCAGAGCTATTAAACTATAGCTATGTTATACTTTGACCTCATAACATGCTGTGTATGTTCACAGACCTGGAAAAACTTAGAAACAGCACTTCAACTAAAAAGGACAAGTGTGGATTTCTGCAAAAAGCTCCTTAGGGGACGCTGCTTTGGGCTTTCTGTTGGAAGCCTTGTGCTAGAGCTGCGCTTGCCTCAGTTGCTGCCTCCCCTCTTTTCCCAGTGTGGATGCTAACCCTGTGATAGAGCTGCCGACAAGTACTGCAACCTGCATTTGCTACAGGACATAGGTCTGTTCCAGACAGACCTCCTAGCTGTGAGCTAGAAGCCTTCAAGCAGTTACTTTGCTTGAGCTTAATATGAAGGGGCTAGAGCACAACTTGCAGCCCTGAGAGCAGAAGACACAAACTTCTCTAAGTTATGAGCAGCAGATGACTCTGACAACCTGAAGACCCCTGTGAAAGGTACCAGCTATCTTTTTTTACTCACCAGCCCACATTCATTGAAGGCCAAATTCTCATCAGTCAGTTTGAGACCTCCAGGTCCCAGCAGCTCAAAGGGCAGCCAGTCATCTCTGAGTGCTTCTCTCACAAAGTTGTAGAGCGCAGATACTGATTCTCGTGCATAAAAAGTCCCTGCCATGAGAAAACAAGGTGAGATATTGAGAGAGAGTCTGGCATTTACCAAATCTAATCTTTTTGTGGTAGGTTTCGTGGGGCTCACGTACTGATGCTAACTTTATGAACTACTTCAGTGACACAGAAACAGCCTGATTCAGCTAAGCAGTATAAAAGCAGAATCCCCAAAGAAAAATATTACTTCAGTTGTTGCAAGCCCCTGCCAGCCTGTAACAAAAGAGTTGGGAAAGCCTGAAATGATTTCCAGAGTTCTACTGTGAAATTTGAAGAGGATTTATACTGTTGCATAGCCTGACGCCACACGGGCAACCTCATGCTGGTTACTATAACAAACTGATCTAATGAGTCCAGCTTGCTTGCAGTAGCCTGGGAAGAGCACGCTTTAATTAACAGCGCCTTGAGATTCTTCTCTCTCCACTCCACCCTGGCTTCCAGTCCCAACCCTGTGCAGGTGAGGCAGGTGGAGGGCTCAGAGATGGGAAGAGTTCTTAGAGAAACACTACCCCACTCTGGCTTTTTGTTGCTTTATTCTACCAGCTGTGTTCAGCACACCTCAAGCCTGCTTATTATTCAAGCTCTTGTGCTGCAAGTATTCTCAGAAGCTTTTGGAGGTGTACAAAGAAAGGGTAACAAGTCTTTTTACCTTGGAGGATGTATCCATCAGGAAACCGGACTCGCATCAGGGTGTAGTTGTACTTCCGCATTTCCCTTTGTTCTTCTTTCTCTCGCATGGCTCTTGTCCTCAGCATTGAAGCCTTCTCCACTGCTTCTGTCCTTTAGAGAGGAAAGCAATTTTTAGCATGAAGGAGAAGTACAAGACTCCTAGCTGGCATGGCGTGCCCCCTGGGCAGTCAGGGCTCTCCTTCTAAGCCTACTCACCGGAGCCGTTGCTCTCGTTTGATCTCTTCTGCAGTGAGGTTGTAAAAGTCATTTGGCAGCTCAAACCGAGCAGCTTCAGGTGACGGTTTAAATACACAGAGCTGGCGATCCAGCTGGGCTCTTACAGGCTCAGAGCTTAAAAGCTGCTCTTTGTAGTCCTTGAGGTCTTCCAACTTGGTCAGCATTTCTTCCTTCAGTACGTAGTACTCCTCTGTGGTCTCTACAACCAAAGGACAGGAACTGAATCCCTTGTTCTTTACATGACTAATGCATGAAATACAAGGGCAAGGATCTCCAGAAAATGTAATGTCTTAACAGGGAAGCTGCAGGGTGAGTGGCTCTTTCTGTTACAGCCCTGGAGCTCTCTCAGCAACCAGAGCAGCCTCGCTAGCCTCCCTGGGCTGTCCCACTGCTACTCAAACTGCTGACTCCAGTTTAATACACTTAGATTTCTTGCCTTGTCCTGGAACAGGCAGTGTTTTTGTCTCAAACCCGATAGCCTGGAAAAATCTGTGTATCCCTTCCAGGCAGCTTATCCTTTCCTGGAAGAAAAGGAAAGAATTTAGATGTAGTCTGCTCCAGGCAAGAACGTTCCTAGGCAGAGCACCTGCAGGAGTCTTGACCTCACCTGAAACACTTTGTTCTGCAGTTTGATTCTCCGGTACTTTTCCTCCTCTGGATGGAGATAGATATTATCCAAGTACCTGCAGAAAGAGGAATGCACTGCATGGATCAAAGCAGGTGCTTAAAGACATGCTACCCCAACATGTAAGAAGAAAGACCTCACAGTATTTCTTGTAGATAAGTTAGCTGAAAAATTAAGGAAAGTAAAATATGTCAGTGTTTCATGCCCAAGCCAGACAGAAGATGGGGGTAGCTGATCTCAACCAGCAGCTCCCACACTGCTTGGGCTAGTGGACCAACTCTTAAAACATCTCTGAGATGCTGACAACCGACACTTGAGATGGTTCAAGTGTTCGGCTTTGGTTTTCTTCAGACTTTGCCTGGAGCACAACAAGAAAATCTGCCTGTCTGTTGGCCTGGCAGGGAAGGGACAAGCTACTGGCACACTTGGTCCTACTAATGCAGCCCACTTACTTGGCAATGGTCTCCACGCCCACACGTACTTTCTCCCGGTCCTTATTGAAGGTGTGAATCTCCATGATTGAGGCAGCCACCGGGTCTACAGAGAAATACTGGGGAGAAGGAGAGAAACTGGTCAGGGGGGAGCTGATACTACTCTGCACAAAGGGAGGTGTGGGTCTGTTTTGGTTTAACCCTGACCGGCAGCTCAGCACCATGCTTGTTCCCCCCACAGTGGGATGGGGGAGAGAATTGGAAGGGTAATATTAGGGAAAAAAAACCCCAACCTGTGGGTTGGGCTAAAGACAATTTAATAGGTAAAGCAAAAGCTGTCCATGCAAGCAAAGCAAAGGAATTATTCACTGCTTCCCAGTTTAGCTGTTTCCAGTGTGTAATCAACTCTGTTTTCATCACAAATCCAAAATGCAGCACCATCTGAGCTGTTAGGAAGAAAATTAAGTCTGTCCCGGCCAAAACCAGTACAGAGCCAAAGTTCCCAGTCCCAGCATTTCCAGCAAGCTGAAGGGAGGGTGCTCGGACAGGCATTTGAACAGAGTTGCCCTTCGGGAGACAGTGGAGATTTTACAAGGAGAAGGCGGAGCATTGGAGAGGTCAGTGCTCGAGGGGACCCACGCCACAACACGAGTTAAAACAGGAGGAAGGGAAGCCGCGCAGCCGGCAGACATGGCGCTTACCGACTGAATGGCTTCTCTGAGGTGCTTCTCCTTCTTGTCTTTCTTTACGACTGCACCGGTCAACGGGCATATGAAATAGACCCCTGAAACAGAGGGGGCAGCTGCCCCCTCCTTGTCTGGGGAGGTGAGGTCCTAAAGGAGACAAAACCAGGCACCGAACTGAACGCAGGAAGGTTTTGTGGGGTTTTTCTGTTTGTTTGTTTTTAAATAACCTGGCAAATCTGCACAGGACAGGGACAGCAGCATGGAAGGGTGCTGATCAGGGAACAGCAGCGTCTCTCATACCTTTTCCTCTTCAGAGAGCCCTTTCTCGCTTGCAGCTGCCTCGGCCATCAGCTCTTTTCTCACTACAAGAGACAAACCCAGGTTACAGCAGCAGACGGGGCAGAGGTTCAGCAGGTTTCGGAGGGCTTCGGACTGTGCAGCACTGCCCTGGGGAAGCGAACACCTACCCAGGTGCTCTGATCCCGGCCTGAGAGCCCACGGAGTGAGCGTGACCCCTGTTTCTATGATACTCAAACAGTTGCAGAAACCATCTGCGTCCCACAGCATCCTCCAGAAATGCACCCGAGCAGTTGCTCACCCAGGATCTCCCTCTCCGGGCTCAGCTCAGAGCTACACCCATCCCAGCCAGCCCCACCGTCCGGCTGCCCCGTCCCTACGCCGGCACAGTGGCTCCGTCTCCTCTGGCAAGCTCCTACCCTGGTTCTTGATGGCCTCCTGGGAGGAAGGCAGCTTGGCCTTGGGCTTCAGCTCCATCCGGGCCAGCGCTGCGGCCGCCGCCATCTGCGCTTCATCGGTTGGCGCCTGACGAGGCTTCGGCGTCGCTTCAGTTTTCGGCTTCTCCTTGGGGACCCTGGGCAGAGCAGAGCAGCAGAGCTCAGGAGGAGATGGGCTCTGCCGTCCCACCGAGACGACGACAGCTCCACAACCGTGCCGGTCTGGATGTGATTACGGTAATTACCGCCCCGGTGCCCCCCCCTCCCCCCCC